TTTCTTTCTTTGTTATTGATTTTGTCAAATACTAACGTATTTAAATAAAACACTTTAACGGTTTAATTTTATTTAAATGTGTACTACTCGCGTAAACTACACAGTATTTACATGCTATCGTAGTTAAAGTTTCTATGAAATGCGACTACATAACTGTCGACTTTATTATGAATTATTTAATTGAATTCATTCTTATTTGAATTATGTTTGTTTAATTAAATTCATCAATTATTTTTTTCTTTACTACAATTATTAGATTATTGTTCCTATATTTGATCAGTTGAATAATGTTTACAATATCAAGTAAGTCAGTAATTTTTTGAATACACATTTCATTGGGGATGTAGCTCAGTGGTAGAGCGTTCGCTTTGCATGTGAAAGGCCCCGGGTTCAATCCCCGGCATCTCCATTTTGTGAAGTCTAATCTTTTATTCACTTAATTTATATGGTTACTACTGAGCCGGCAAACGTTGTTTTGCCATCTAAATAATTTTACTAAAATGTCTATTAAAAAATAAGGGTTGATCGTAGAAGGGTGAAAATTGAGGATTGTATGTATTTTTGTATGTTGCATCATAAAAAAATAGAAATTAAAAATTTTGTAAAAAAAAAAATTAAGGGTGAACAACTCTTATCACTTAGGGAGATGAAAAATAGATGTTGTCCTATTCTCAGACCTACTGAATACACATATGAAATTTGGTGAAAATCGGTCGAGCCGTTTCGGAGGAGTTCAAGTTCGAACACCGTGACACGAGAATTTTATATATTAGACTTATCTTAACGTGAGGAAAATAAATAAGGAATTATTATATCTTTATTCGTTCTTGATGTTTTGAAATCATTTAGATACTTCTTATTTGTATGATTCTTCATATTTATAATTTGCGCGAGTTAAACAATGTTTACATTTTTCAAACTGACATAATTTCCGATAAGTTGTACCCATCTTGATGCAGAGTTTAAAGTTCGACGAACAAGTATCACAAATTTATTTAATTTTAAAGCCTCATCTTTGGTATTTGTAATTTAAACACAACATAGGCCGACAGCGCATCTTCATTACATCTTATAGGGCTTGCTTATTTTAATCGTTGTTAGTGCTTCTGTCTCGCGATATTGATATTTCTTATCAATATTTCATTTATTTCTATACATATAAATATACAGCATGGTCGTCTGTAAGTCTGTCCCGGTCGCAAGCGGATCGATGTAGACGCGTGACTCGGTTATTAACTACAGAGAGGCACTCAGAAAATACCCGCCAAAAGCTTTACGTCATTTCAGCAGTTGGTACACCTTGTAATGACTACCAACTTAAAAATAAAAAACGTCAAAAAACAGTAGAATATACGAAACGGATAGTAGTAAATATTGTCTTACAAATGAAACTTAATATGACCCGAGTTCCTTGATAGGAGACTAGTTGACTTTGCAACTGTTTAAAAACTTTAATATTTTTACATGTGCACACGAAGGCACCATATAATTTAAAAATCAAAAATAAATTGTAAAAATTTTCGACTCGGGCAGGACTTGAACCGGCATCGTCAGCTTTCCGTGCTGTTGTTCTGACTGAGCCGGTTCAAGTCCTGCTTGAGTATGAAGTTTATTGACCTAAATTTGATAAGTATAAAAACCGTTTCTTGTGAGTTAATTTTAAAAGATAAATATGTCAAGGATTTTTTTATTATAAAGAGGAATAAGTCTTAGATAGATATTTTTTGTGTATCTTGTACCATTTTCGCAGCGCGCAATGGAAACTCTACGTTGAATGCTTTTCCCCGTTTTCCACATTTTCGACTGTTAAAAATAAAAAAGTTCTTTTTCACTGAAAAGCTTTATATGTGCAAGCTAGATTAAAATACACCTTTGATAAGTTGCTTCTCTGGTCGCCATGTTGCGGAGTAGAAGATCGCTCAATTTTTAATTGAAAACAATATAGTTTAGTAGGTTCCATTTAATAATGGGGTTGTAATATTTTTTATTTTAATTTTATTAATTTTTTAATTTTAATTTTATAACATTTTTTTCTGGAAAATACTCTATTTTTAATATTTCAGTCTGAAGCTCAGTGCTAGGTAAATCTCATTTCCTTCAGCCTTATCGATTGCCAAGTACGCAACTCGAATACCAAATACTCCCATTACAGAAGTCAAATAATCTGAACCTTAAGTTAAGCCGAATAAGATAACATTTTCTTTGATCGTCTATTAAGAAAAATGTGTAGGAGCAACGGAGGTGCCTATAATCAGACAGCTCGATGTACTTTAATTTAATTGACATAAGGATGGTTTTGCAATGACAATTTGTTTCATTTTCATACTTCAGAGCGATGCTTTAGAAGGTGAGAAGACATTGAAATATTAAGCGAAGATGAAAGTTCAAACTGAAAAATACTTGCATTTTAAAGTTAAACTATTGGAGTAATTCAGCTTAAAATAATAAGATAAGTATATTATTTTATTCGGTACCATAAATAGTACCTACTTAGGTACTTATTTTAATTTAGATAGTCATATGATGCCGCTAGAAGCAGTAGCGTCTGCAATTTTATGACATGAATTATTTCTATTTTTATAGTCTAAAAATGGTAATCTACATAAGCACAGTGACCTAAAATGTTTAACATAATTATTACACAAGTAATATAATACACAAATAATAGTACAAATTCATTTTCATTTAAGTTAATTGCGCACATTTTTTCCTTCTTATTGAAAAACATGTTGTTAATAGGCCACTCTGCCTCTAGCATCTCTCTTGTTCGTAGACTTATTTATATTTTTAAAGACATTACTCTTCGTTGTCCACCTCCTAATACCTTAATTTCCAATTATCATGTAACAAGCAGGTAAAGCTGTCTGTATAATTACAATGTAGGTTACTTAGTTTTTATATAGAAAAACTGGTTCTGTTCAACATTACAATTAAATTATCGCATTGTTCTGCCCTCATTCGCCGCTTAAGCAGCTGTTCAATTCTGGAAACTATTTTCATTGTCTTATTTTGTTGTCATTTTATATTTGGCCCGTTTAGTGGAATCGCCCTGGCCTTGAAAGTGCTATAACAATATATTTTTAGATACAATTTTATGTTATAATATGTTAAGTTGTTTTAAAGAAATTCTGAAAGGCGAAAAAAGGTTAATAAAATTTTAACATACGCTTCTGCGTATAATACTTGCTTATAAGTAAAGAATAGAATCTATTTTTTTGACGATACTTTTATTATTTTAAAACAAGCGAAAATTATCCACGCCTATCTATCTTATCTATTATCTAAGCCTTTGATTTAGCTACTAAATTTACTTTTAAGGTATCTTAATTAAGGAATGGGTATTTTAAATATTTTAGTGACTCTCAGTTATTCTATTTTATAAAAATCCCAGATAAGCAATTCTCAACCACGTTATGTAAAACGAAACGTTTACTTTTATCACTAATCGTGCGACGTATATAATATATATCATCTTTATTGTGAATGAACGATCGTATTTTTTTAAAACAACTTGAATATTAGGGACGTCCCTACTTAATTATTTTCTACAAAAAACCCCTACGTCGTAGCATCGTAGCAGATACTGTAGCTAATAATTTATCGCTATCACTGACCTAGTATTAACGCTAAGGACACGCCCAGTCGTCAGTCCGTACGTCACGCCTTCCCGGCGTGGCTTCGGCCAATCGGCACGCTCTATGGCGCTTTCCAATTTTAAATCGCCCGTGAGCCGATATAGCTGCGCCGTTCGGACAATGCGATTGTTTAGAATTCGAACATTTTGAATTCGTTCTCACGGAATTCGAAATTCGATTTTTGCTGTTTTATTTATTTGAATTTTGAATTAATCAAACCGTTGTAGTAATAACGTATTTTGACTGTAAACAGTAAATGTACCTTTTATTTTAATTTGAATTCCCTTCTACCCCTGGTGGTCATTGGGGCTCACGCATTTTTCTGTTTGCGGGTTTAATTACGAGCAAGTAGTTGATCTGGCTTCTATACCCTACACGACTAAAATAATCTATTGTTACCCGATTCGAAGCCAAGACCCCAATCGTATAATGCAATGCTAGGCATTAACGTAATTTAAGCAATTAGCTATGGAGACAGTTTTTTATCAGGTTTACGACAATTTTCCTACATTATAAATATTTTAATAATTAAATGTAGATTTTGATAGCAAAGTTTTTATATGAGTTCTTTATTTATTATCTACCATAATGTAAAGAATGTTTCTACTTATTATACATCTACCTACTTATGCTAAGAAGTCCCGCTTCCCATACCTTCCAATTACTAACATACACCGTTATCTGTTAGTCACACTGTTATTGCAATAAGCAATTACAGCTACCAGTGTAATATGACCCCACTGCTCCATGACGACCATACAATTAGTGTATCGCGGTGGAGGTCGTGTTAAGCTGGATACGCTTAGCTCAAAATTGCTTTGACAGTTGCCTTAAAATGCTCATTGCTCAAGGTTAGGTCACGTAGATTTGTCGTGAGAAATCATGTTATTATGTTGTCCTGTTATCTTTTATTAGCGCTTAATTTGTAAGATTTTGTACGCGATTGCAAAAAATATAATATTTAGTTATTCGTTTCACAATGATGTTTCGTATCAAATACCTATATATTTAATATTAGATAGTACATGCTATGTCTGTGTATATAAACTTATAAACAAAACATTGAACCGCCAATTACGTTGTTTTCTAATTTAACAATTTTTGAAATAATTTTCCAAGTAGTATCTGTAAAAAATGACTTTTTTTATTTATTTAAAAAAAACCTTTTCCTATAAAAAAAAACCTTACAAGTCAAATTACATTTATTATCAAATTTAAAAAAAAACATAGCTCTAATAGTGTTTTCCATTTTTTGTGCTTTATTAATTTCTTATATCTGCAATTCTTATTTAACGTACGTGTAAAACGAAACACTCGCGAACATTTAGCGAAAGTTATAATTAGGGTAGATCCCAATATCATTGTCTACGTTACGTGACGAGCGCCCGCGTCACGTAAAGGTAACCCAATTATGGCGACGTGACGTTCAGAAATTCGACAGCACGCCCCGAGTGCTTCGGAGCTTGTTTCGTATGCCTCGCGTAGCGGCCGGTTCTCGGCTCCCGCACACATCGCCGTATAGTTTGATACCAGCTCCTCAATGACCGCTGGACCGACAGACTCTCCACACGTGTGCGCGATCTTAAAACGCATGTAAATAATGGCGCGTGCGTTTCTGAACGCGGCCGGTGCGCGCGGGAAAAGTTTGACAGCTGATTGACGCGGCTGTAATTTTTTTTAATCTGTGATTAGTGTTAGTGGCTAGAGATTTTGTGTTGGTAACACTGTGGTGACCATTGTGTAGAGCATTCCGTTTTCAAATGTGTTTGAAGTTTTTTTTTATTACGTGCGCGCGCTATGGGAAAATTCAAACAGTACGCAAACATTTAAAAAGCTAAAGACTGTGAGTAACGAAAACTCTCGCGCATACGTCCTCAAACAGTTGTTATTGCTTTACAAACAAGAAAAACCCGTAATTTCTGAGGTTAATACAACATACGCAATAAACGCTTAAGCTGTGGGCAAACAGAGCCTCCACTAATAGGTGCCGATAGTTAAAACCTGTGTTAAAACAATATATTGCGCGGACACTCTGTAAATATATCAAATGTTCGAAATCTTCGCCTCGTATTTACTCAAAATCATCGCCGTTTACCTCCCAATAAAGTGTTAAAAATGAAATAAAACATATGTAAGATTCAATTCCCATTTTTGCTGAATACTTATGTTTTTACTTAGGATACATGGTTAAAAAATAAAGCGGCGGCACCTATTTTATGGTGACAGAGTTTTCGTCTTAATCTCTCTTTAAAAAACAGGTCCTAAAGTATGAATGACGTCACAGATTTACATTAAATAATGCAACGCGATACCATGTGCATTGTGCATTTTAAACAGTTAAATGACAAAAACTTGCAAATTTATGTGTAACAAGTGTGAAAGAACTCAAAAAATGTTACCGATGTGATTTTAAATTGGGAGTTTAAAAATGGAACACCCGGGCGGATTTGCGTCTTCGCCCTGGGCCGCCATGCTAGGGCATGGCATGCACGGAATGATGCAGCACGATTATGCGCATGGGCACGCACATGCGTCCATGCCCATGGACTTGCATGTACCGCAGGCATTTCCTTATTACCGGTGAGTAATCGCTCAATGGTCGATATTTTTGGCGGATTTTATGACTTTGTTGTTGTTACATACAACAAAGATGCTAATGTTGTATGTGCTACCACGTTTAATATTTATTACGACATAGTTAGGCCTTAATGACTGAATAACCCGCTGTAAATGAGATATATTACAAACTGTTTTATAATAAATTTCTACCGGACTATACCTAAAGACAAGAAGAGATATATTTTTGGTAATTTTTATAAAATGAAAGAAAAAACTTTTAGTTGCTGGTCGAAAATGCGAATCAAGATTTCTACATTTAACAAAAAAACTCTATAACGGTTTAAAACGCGACCCCGGGACCACGTCGGGCAACAAAACGTCGGGCCGAAGTTAAAAATCATTTCCAAATAAGTTTAACTAATATATCGTGTTTTAAACCGTTAAAGTGTTTTATTTAAATGTGTACTACTCGCGTAAACTATAGACAGTATTTAAGATTTCTACAGTTATTTTCATTGTTATTTAATTTATAGTAAGTAAATAAATTTGTCCGTTTAACTTTAAAAATATTAAAAAAAATTGGCAAACAATTGATAAGTAGGTGCATTTTACAAAACTGGTGAAGGTATTTTAATTAACATTATAATATAGAGATTTACTACATCAAATTTATATCTTAATAGTATTTTTACTTTCCATATAATATACAATAGTTTTTAACTAGCCTATAGCAGATATAGACCCAGTATCTTACCTTCGTAGTTATATACTATTATTTCAGATTAACCCCTATTTTTTAACCATAATTAAAATACCTTTTAGTAACGTAATTAGGCAATTTATATATATCCGGCTTTCGCTTGCCTACCTTCGAACTCCATTTAAAGCAAAAATTAAGCCTCTTAAAGGTTAATTTTAATCCAATACTTTTAAGATTATTAAATATCTTTTGAATAAATTCTGTCTTAATTATCGTATTTTGAGAGTACATAACTTGTCTTGGTAAGTTAATTGAAAATTTAAATACAGCGAATTTGCCTATTGCTAGAGTTTTAACTTACGAATTTTGAAGTGAACCAAACAAAAGTCTATCTTTTTAAAAATGTAGAAAAAGCTACAATAGGCCGACAGCACATATTATTAGCTATCCACCTTCCATCACGTGAAACTCCTGCTTTTCTTTATTTCATATGTAGATATATTATTATAATCTTTATGTTATTTTTATAAAATAATTTCTTAACTTTACTGCTTATAATAGCCACTATTAATTTAGGAAAAGCAATGAGTTACTTTAGTTTCGATCAACTAACTATGCTTAACGGTCAATTTGTAGAATAATTTATAAACTTTTTTATTAGAGAATCCTACATAAGCCTTTGTTCGCGCTATCTAATATATAAATATTCAGCAATAAATACAAACTTTGTTGTAATTCGATCGAATCCAATCGAATATCGGACATCTTGACATATAATTAGGTTATGTCTGGTCCCGTCAAATGACATGGTTCCAGCCGATGTGTAATTTCGGGATCGTACCACAGATTATAGTGGCGGCGCTGATGACATACGAAATGGCAAATCGAATTCTTTTTCTATGGAATGGAGACAAAATATAGGGTAGCAATTTTCGGTTTTTTAATACAAACGGGCTCCTTGGTGTAATGGTAAAAATTCGACGTTGGCTTAGATTCGATGCCCAACATATAAAGGCTAAAAGCGTACCTTTCCAAATAAAAATAACAATAGTCTCGCCTAGGCGCGATTGCGTTCTGGATTTTGTTGTCTCTCTAAAACTTTAACAACAATTAACAAATGAATTTGTTTCATTGAATTGGTATCCTAAAATGTAAACAAAACTTTTTACGTATATACTTTTTACATTTGAGGATACCACATAAAATAAAGCGACCAAGAGTAAGTCGAGGTCGACTATGAAGTGTTCTATGTGTGTATAATTAATTTTTATTTAATTTATTTAAGTAATTGACATTTAAGCGGCGACAGAAATAAATAATTGTGAAAAAAATCTACTAGCTATCGCTCTGGTGACGTAGAGACGTACAAACAATCAGATCTCGAAGTCTTATTAATGGATAGTTTATTACTTTGGGAAAGCCCTAAAAAGCCTAAATGTTGATTTTTCAAAGAAGCTAGCTCCACTCGCGACTTCGTCCGCGTGGTGTTAATCGTTATTTTAGGCATCAAATGATTAGTTTTTGCAAACAACCTTTTCAGTTTTGTAAATTGTAGCCGTTACTCACGACGTTGTCCACCTTCCATCGTTCTTGTGTAAAAGACATACTGTCGCGGTCATATTTTTATATCCATTAAATATGAAATTATTTGATATATATCTTTTGGATTCTTGATCGGTTCACGCATGTCACAGATCAAAGCCGTCAAAGATTTATAATTATCCCACTTGTTTCCACATTTCTTCGCTTATCTTCTTTGCAGTCTGATGTTTTTTAGCATAAAGCCTTTCTCGAAAAATGGTGCAACCAACACAAAAGATATTAAATATTGTTTATAGTTTACGCGAGTAGTACACATTTAAATAAAACACTTTAACGGTTTAAAACGCGATATATTAGTTAAACTTATTTGGAAATGATTTTTAACTTCGGCCCGACGTTTCGGATGCTTTGCAGCAGCCGTGTTTTATTTAAACAAAAGATATTTTTTAACTGAAACCATTAGTGCCCGAGATTAGCGCCTTCAAACAAGCAAACTCTTCAACTGTATAATATTAGTATAGATGTATATGTGGATAAAAGTTACATACATAGTCCATCTGTAAAAAGACCAATGATTAACGAGCGGTTTGCAAGAAAATCCTCAGCATGAACATAAAAGTCATAGCTAATACATTTATAGCAATAATGGTCGGAACACAACGTAAATGAGTAGAAATCAATAAACGCGTAGAAACATTACCACACTTGTAGTTTCTTCGTGCATTATGCGATGTAACTTATGCTGGCGGGCAAAAACCCGCGCTGGGAAGGCATCCCGGGCTAATAACAAACCATATCGGCGGGGCCGGGTTTTTGCAATCGTTTTGTTCTGTACACAATCGGATAGCCTCGTCCTTTTAATAGACAATTAAAGAATCGAACGCGACGATGCTTCTCGATCCAGTTGAGTAATCGATTTTGGAACGATTACGGAATCTATCGATGCAATAACATCATCAGTTTCGATGTTGTTTAATGGGTAGGAGAACGGCCAGCACTGAAATAAGCGCGAGTACTCCTGGATTGATAAATAAATACTGTCTATAGTTTACGCGAGTAGAGTACACATTTACATAAAACAGTCTCCCCGTGACCACGGCTGCTGCAAAGCATCCGAAACGTCGGGCCGAAGTTAAAAATCATTTTCAAATAAGTTTAACTAATATATCGCGTTTTAAACCGTTAAAGTGTATTATTTTAATAAAAAAAAATGCAAATTTTAATCAAAGGAATTACATTGCGCAATAGGTGCATATATGAATAAATTGGACGATAGTGTGTGGGGCGCGGTAGCTCTATAGGTTAAAGCAGCAGCGCGTAACGTGGTGGGTGCCCGTTTAGGTTCCACGCTTTTCGTAAATATCTTTTAATGTACATTTTTAGATTTTAATTTAATAAATATAAAACTATTTAAATAAAACACTTTAACTTTTGCAGCAGCCGCGGTGACGGGGAGACCACGGGTAACGCATCCGAAACTTCGGGCTGTAGTTAAAAATAATTCTCAGACAGTATTTAATATAAAACAAAATAATTTATTTTCAATAAAATTATAACACAGGACACGTTTTTTGCTTAAAAGGCCGAGACACTAAAACGATTAACTCGTCTCATACATTTGAAAATTATAATATTTTTTTATTTTAAACAGTATACAATGGAGAAATATTGAACAAATAACGCCGATAAATTTTTGATTAACTGGCTTAAGAAGACTAGACTCAGTTCTATTGAGTTTGCCATATAATATAATGCAACAATGTCTTAATTGAATCGAAGCAAAAAGAACAATTAAGCCAGCATTTGCCATCGTGGCTCTCGGTTGGAAGAAATGATTCTTTTTCTATAGATAAAGAGTCTTTAACTGACTAATTGCGGCTTACTTTACGACCATTGCGAAGAGAATTAAAGGGCGATTGTGCATAGTATGGTTTTTTGAAACACTTCGATTTATAGCAATGGACTGTGCTCCTTAAGCGGTTAATGTTGCCACATAAAAATATATTAATTACCCAACTAAAATACATTTATTGCAGATTTATGGGAAATGCTATTTCGTCGTTAAAATTTATATTTATTGTAACTGTCTTATAATATCACGGGAATAATAAATTTCTTCATACACAATTAAAGATCTTGAATCTTATTAAACAACTGCCCTTACGCAATAGCCCTGTAACTGTGTTATTCAACGTGATATTTCTCACAACCCTACACTGAATTTTACAGTGTAGTTGCCTAGTATTGGAATAATAATCACATGATTTCAGAACTAAAAACTATAAATCTAAATTTTCTATTAGTATTGTACAGCAAACAACATTTTTATGACACATTTAGAAATCCATGAGAGGCATTTGATGAAATGCGAAAAGCACTACGTTACATTTACTCAAGATGTGTTATTGATATTTAATTGGACATTCGAAAATCCCAGCCTTAAATTAAAGACACAGATTATTACTTCATAGTTTTTTAATTTTTCAATTTTGTATACTGTTTTTCGTGTCCCGAAAGGTACTTTGACATTCCTACTTCTTTCATGTACTGATGGTACAGGCGTAGACTTGTAGGCCATATGTTTATAGACATCAGAGAATAATGTATTCAGTCAGTGCAAAATCGAATCCACGACCTTAAGCATTGATACTATTGCCCTATGGATGTAGGGAATTAATTAAATCAATTTATTTAAAAATAATTAAACAAATACATTATTTTTAAAGTGATTTTAATTTGCTGTAGTTTTACTTACTGAAAGAGTTG